TCGGTGTAGTCAATTTCGGTTTCGGATGCCGATAAGGCTTTCAATTTACATATTAAAGTGAAATTCCAAACAGATATTTCTGTAAGTAACAGATAGAAAGCCAAATATCATGCAAATCACATAATAAACCCATAATTTATTTTATTCACTTAATTAGCATCCTTAACTTTTGATTAATGGCTAATTGTGGATCAGGGTTATTACAAGAGTGATCAAGATAGAGCTTAAAAAGAGGGAAAAGGAGTTACCCTTGAAGCTCAACAAAACTAGCAAGTTTTGGGAGCAAAAACCAACTCTTCAACCTCTGAAAATACCCTCCAAGAACCTCAGATCAATGATGGAGGTGTATGGCTATGAGGTGTGGTGCAATAGGTCAAGAACAATACACACTTTGAGCCAAAATATAGAGATATGGAGAGAGATATGTATTTTGCCTTCAACCAAATTCTGAACCTGTGCAAAGGAGAGGGAGGGCCTCTCTTATAAAGGTTTGAAGCTAAAGCTTCCTCAAGAAGCTAAAAGCTTGGATTCAAATCCTGCATACACATGTATGGAGGATACAGTCTGTGCCTTCTAGCTGGCATAGCTGGCATCCACACAATCTAACAAAACAGGAGGAAACCAGCCAACCAGAAAAGGTGGTCGGCTGTCCACTTTCCCTGGTCGGCCGACCAGGGCAAGTGGTCTCCCAGATAAAAAGTGGTCGGCCAAGAGTATTGGTGGTCTCCACACTGAAAGCAAGCCAATGGTGGGGTGGGAAACCATAAAATGTGGCCCAAAGACCAAGAAAACCAGTTTCCCGACCAGAAAACCGACTAGCGGGGAGAAAAGTGGTTTCCAAGGAGAAAGCTAGTCTCCCACCCTTGTACCACCTTCCGAACAAGGAAAACAAGGTTCGTGCCAAGAACGAACCAACACGGATGCAAAACGAGAGTTCTGGAGGCAAGACGCGTGGCCGGGGGCCTCGAAAACCGGCTGTTGAGCACAAAAAGTGGCATACGACCACAAAAGTGGTCTCCCGGACCACAACGTCCCTCTAGACAGAGGAAACAAGGTGTGATTCAAAAACTGTGCCAAACAGAGAATGTTAAGTGATCCCGAACCGAGGCACATGTCCGACAGCTCCGAAAATAAAAAAACTAGTCTCCAAATGGGAACAATGGCCTACGACAATGAAAAGTAGCCTACGGCCACTGAGAGATGGTCTACAAGACCTCTCCCTCCCTCCAGTAAGAGAAAACAAAACTTGGTCCGCGGACCGAGTCAAAGTACAAAGGGTCCCGAGGCTTGGAGGCAAGGCTCTTAGCCGAAACTTCCAAATCTCAGGACAAGCAGAACATGCACCATCACTGAGCGCTCAATCGGTGACGTCTGAGTCTTAAGGTCGGTCAAAAATGGGGTGTCTACACCTGTATAGGTAATCCAATGCCGACTCTAGTTTTAACATCAAGTATGATACTTTTCCTATATGGTGAACTGCCAGTCTCCTTGCTGTACTGGTTTACTGTATGGTGAACTGTTTTGGTTTCTGATTTCACGTAGGCTCTGTTGTTTTGAACTGCCATTCTGGTGTTGCTGCTATTTGAGGTGTTTTGTTTGCCTCAGTTTTGGTGTGGCCTCAACTGTTGGCCTTGTCTGGTTCTGCTAATCCAGCTTCTGCTTATTCTGGTTTCCTTATCTATCTGTTCTGTTCTCTGTTTGATTTGTGGGTGGCTATTCTTTGTTTGATCTGTTATTTGGGGGCTGTTATTTAGATGCCATTGTAGTGCTCTTGTAGTTTGGTTATAAGTTGGAATGTTCATCAGTTTTCCCAAGAAAACATGCATGGAATTTTTTGAAGCCCAAATTCTGTTGTGCCAATGTTCTTTTTAAGGATATTTTTTGGCTTATCGGATGCCACTGCCAGTGTTATGTCAAGGCCATGCTTCCATAGCACTTTTTGTTGTCTCAGTAATATCAGATGCCTGCTCTGCATAAGTATTCCTGCTTTAGGTGTTGTGTCTGGTTGTTGGTTGGTCTGTTTTTTTCTTTTTTTCTTTTTTCTCGACTTCCTCATCAAAGATCAAACAGAAATCAAACAAACCTGTGAATTGTGCAGCCACAGTACCAAGAGTCAACTTTTAAAACTTGAGAGATGATAAGATAACTGATCTATATTGTTCAAGAATTGGCTTAGCAGAACTTCGAATTAGCTCTGATGTTGCCTATGCCACCATGTGTCAAAATTGAAGTAATTTAAGTAAAATAAAATAAAATGCTTTCATTATCATCACATTGAATCCAACAACAAATAAAAGGGTAAACTGCCAATATGTCCTAATAGCTGTCATTATTAGCATCATCAATGATCTTCATTGGTTTTATCCATATTATTGCTATTTTTCAGCTTTATTACAACTCCATTTGAGTGTAACTTATTTAACTACTAAACTGGGTGTATCAATTTGAGTGTAAAGTCCATGTTTTTTTGTGGTAGAATCATAGGGGGAATTGTAGTATCAAAAATCAAGTGCATAGTAATATTTCAAAATTTTATATAATTCTGTTTATGATGACATAATCCAAACACAGCATAAAAGTTCTATCAAGATCAGAAAATCGAATAAAAATAATCCAAATCTAGTAGTCCAATAGTTCAATAGGCTGGATACAAAGTTTTCAAAAAAAATAATCCAATAGTCCATCCATTTAGAAGCTACTCAGCTTCACCTTTGACACAGGAAACTACTAGGAAATTAACCAAGTTATAATCTATCAAATAATCCAATAGTTCATCCAATAAAATAATTTTTTTTTTTTGTATATATTTTTATTTAATTTTTTGTTGAAGTGGTCAAACGGTTGGTTGTGGTACATTTGTTTAAGTGTTTATTTATGTAATGGTTATTGAGACTTTGAACAAAGGTAGTAGACTTTCATCTTTGTTATTGTTTATGCAGTTTGTTAATGTCAAAAGATGTGCAAAATAATATTTTCCGTACATAGATTCTTTGTTTTCTCCCCACAATCATTAATTTCCTTACGTATTGTCTTCTTTACTAAGTCTATTTCAATGTTCTGTTTTTGTTTGTTATAGGTCCTCAATTTCTCCATCTTAACGTAGAAGTAAAGCTATACCTCCTCCATCACTTCGTCTCTAGCGGTTGCATTAGCAGGTGTGTTTTTTTAATTTATTTGCTTTTAATTAACAGCAGGGCACTGGCGGGTGTGCTATTTTATTTATTTGTGCTGTCTTTTTTTATTTATTTGTTTATTTTAATTGATAGCAGGGCACTGGCAGGTATGCTATTTTATTTATTTGTGCTGTCTTTTTTATTTATTTGTTTATTTTAATTGATAGCAGGGCACTGGCGGGTGTGCTATTTTATTTATTTGTGCTGTCTTTTTTATTTATTTATTTATTTTAATTGATAGCAGGGCATTGGTGGGTGTGCTATTGAATTTATTTGTGCTGTCTTTTTTATTTATTTGTTTATTTGAATTGATAGCATGGCACTAGCAGGTGTGCTTTAATTTTGTTTGTTTATTTTAATTGATAGTAGGATACTTGCGGGTGTACTGTCTTTTTTTTTAGAGGGAGATGATGTCACAAGAGAAAGATTGAATTCATTTTTGGTTGAACTCAAATTTGTTGAATGACATGTAAATGTCTGGAAATTCTGAGCTGATACTTTTGCTTCCCACCCACAAAAAAAATAAACATAATTTTGAGGGACTAGAGAAATGTACACGTTTGAAAAGAAAGAACTCTAGGGCAAATACATCACAAGAGAGTCTGGTTCAAGTAAATTCATTAATTTTGATAGACATTAGAAAATTCTATACTGAGATTTTTGCCTACAGCCACCCATCACAGACGAAGCATGAATCCTCTAGAGTGTTTATTTTATTTTATTTTCAAGTGATTGTACATATATAATAATTGCTTCCAAAATTGTGTTGTAAGTAGTAGAGAGAATAAGGTATGGAGGGGATGTAAAATGAGAAGACAAATAGTTGTAGTCCTATTTAAACCCTCTTTAGGGATAATAAACGAGCTGAACAGTTGATTGTTATAACTTGCTTTGATAACTTTAGCGAATTTTAAAATTTGTTCAACTTTGGTTCGTTAAATTTTCGAGTCGATATCAAATGAGTTTTTCTCAAGCCGACCTGAAATAGTTTGGTAGTTTTAGATTCATCAAACAGAGCCGAACAAGCAATTAACTATTCAAGTTTGGCTTATTTACTTAACGAACTGAGCTCGAACGAGTTTTTAATGAGCTGAACAAAAGTCGAGCTCAAGTTGTTTGGTTCGTTTATCACTCCTAAAGTTGTTGAAAAAGTTGCCAATGGTTGGCGGATGGTGGTAGTTGGCAACAATGGTTGGTAGCGGTAAGTGGGACAAATAGGTGACACGTGTATAATTAGGTGATATTTAGACAAGTAATTAGAAAAGTACGTGACATGTGTACAGATAAATAACATTTGAGCATATAGATAAATTTTTGGACAGATAACCTCCTTTTCATTTGAACACGTGTATAATTTTTTTTTTCATTCGAGGGTATAACCTCCTTTTGCTTTCTATTGACGTTTTTATTTTCACTACCATTTTCATTTATATTAAAAAAAAAAAAGTTATTTGCTTGGTAGGGATATACATAATATCACTTTTTCCTAAATAATTTTTGATAGGGATATCCCCTAGTATATCAAAAAATTTGCCCCTATGTTTATGTGTGTTGTAATTATAAGAACTCTCTCGATTCTTATTTACTTGGAATGGTGATCCATAAATATATGGGTCCCTCTTATTTTCATAATTAATAGATCTATAAGATGAAAGATTATATCTATAGTATTTTTGAAAATTCTCATTTTGATTTGGTAATGAATATACTTCGTAGTCGTTTTGTTTTTTGTAATGAATTAATAGGTCTTTTTCATATGAATTCTCTTTGTTTAAATATTGATTTCGAATTGTATGACATTGATTGATTCTATTTTTCCATTTTGCTGCTATTAATCTAGACCATCTAATTTGAGATAAATGGTATTGATAATGACCTTTTAACCAGTTTTTCCATTGATTTAGTCCAGAATTCCGTGATATTGAAGAATAGATCTTAACTTATACAAGGAGGATAAGTCAAAAAAATTCTGTGAATTCTAATTACTAACATTAGATACAGTCGAAATAAAATTCATTTTATTTTTATTTGTTTTATTAATTCTTTGCTATAAAGTTATAAGTTTGATTAGTTATTTGCCAAAGAACCAAAATGAATTGCCTTAATGAGTCTCCATATATTTTTATTTATTTGCTTTTTCCTTTTCTTTGTTTCTATTTGATTGTGTTTCTATTGATCAACCAATATTATGATTGTTGATTACAGAATCATTCTCTATTTATTTTGATTTTCAATAACTATGTCATTAATGGAAAGTTATTGAATGTTTTCAATAACTATGTCATTAAATCTATGTACATTATTCTACTATTGTTTTTGTCTGTTATTTGCTCTTTTACAAAATTCTCTTATGTGATTTTAGGAATTTTCATTCATTTTATAAGATAATGTTATTCTTTTCGTATTGTTTTTGATGTAGTTATCATGGATCCTTTTGGATGTACCAAATTTGAGCGCAAGCTTGAAGATGACGAAGTTTGTGGGAATAAAGAAGAATTAGGTTCCCATGCAAATGACCCTATTCAAAGTTTAACCAAGAACGATGTTCTTGAAATGCAATTCAATTCAGAAGAGGATGCCAATGATTTCTATAATCAATATGCTAAAGTTGTGGGATTTAGCATTAGGAAAGACACGCGAACAATGCAGGCAACAAAGGTTCTTAGTAGAAAATGGGTATGCTCAAGGCAAGGACAAAGAGCAAAGCAACACTTGGCCCGTATTGATCGAAAAAGAGCTGCCAGGGCATTGACTAGAGTTTGTTGTGATGCTCATTTCCGCATAAGGTACAATCTGGATGTAGGCAAATACATTGTCACTCACTTTAACATGGAACATAACCATCCATTGGCAACATCACCATGTGTGCCATTTCTTCGGTCGCATAGGTTTGTAAAGATCCCCAACAAAGCTCAAGTAAAGACTTTGCACGATGTTGGTGTCAAGACAAGCCAGATAATGGATTTGTTGGTGCAACAATCTAGGTCTTTCGCGAACGTGGGCTTTATTCACAAGGATTTGCACAATTATATTCAAGCCGAGCGCAAAGTAGAAATGAAGGATGGTGATGCGGAGTTTGCTTTGGCTTACTTATGTGCAAAAGCAAATACTAACCCTTACTTCTTTTACAAGTATAACAAGGATCAAGAGAATCGGCTTGACAAATTGTTTTGGGCAGATTCAAGGTCTCGCCTAGACTATGCTGCATTTGGTGACGTGTTGGTCTTCGATACAACTTATAAAACGAATGCATATAACAAACCTTTTGTTATTTTCGCCAGGGTCAATAACCATTTTGAAACCACCATATTTGCATGCAGCTTGCTTGTTGATGAGACAATTGCAACATACACATGGGTTTTGCAGAAGTTGTTAGAGGCCATGGATAACAAAAGACCGGTGTCAGTGTTGACAGATGGGGATATGGCCATGCATGAGGCAATACAAAAAGTCTTCCCGAGTGCCAAGCATCGTCTATGTAATTGGCATATGCACAGAAATGCCAAACGAAATGTTCGAGTTGATGGATTCGAGGGACATTTCAAGCATCTCATGGAACTTGATGCGAATGAGGTTGTATTTGAGGAAGCTTGGAGTAAGATGGTTAGAAAATATGGCCTTCAAAATAACAAGTGGGTATCAGACACCTACAACAACAAAGGCATGTGGGCTCAATCATATTCGCGTGGTCATTTTTTTGCTGGAATGAAGAGCAGTCAGCGTTGTGAGGGTATGCATGCTTTTTTCCATGAGCGCCTCAAACGAAAACTGAAACTATTCGAATTTGTTAGATGTTTTGACATGGCCCTTTATCGGTTACGGAACAAAGAAGCAGATGCCGAGGCAAAAACTGACAACAGTGATCCTTGTCTTGCCACAGCACTTCAGCCTCTAGAGAAACATGCAGCAACCATCTTTACCAGACGTTTGTTCTTAATGTTCCGTAATGAAATAATTGAGGAAGCATTGTTGATTTTTGATGGAAGGAAAGAGGAGTTCGATCATCGCATATACAAATTTTCAAAGTACACTGAATTTGGTTCCACATGGGAAGTGTCATACCATCCCGCAACTAGCATAATGAAATGTAGTTGCAAAAAGTTTGAGTTCTTTGGACTTCCTTGCAGCCATATGATTTCTGTGATGAAATGTGAACACATGACTGAAATTCCCCCAAGTTGTGTGATGCATCGTTGGACAAAGCAAGCAAGAAAGGTTGGTGAACAACATTGCCAAGCCCAATTCTCTAGCACTCTCACACAGGAGACACGCTTTGGGGTTCTTTGCTCCTTTTTTACTGAAATGTGTTACTATGCCTCACAAACATATGAAGGATTTGAAGAGGCTAGGAATGCATTTTTCACTATGACATGTCGGATGAAGCAGCTTTGCATGGCTAAGGGAACTAATGTTGATGAAGGAAAAAGTTCACTACCGCCATTTGGGGTTGGGGATCCGAAAGTAGTGAACACGAAGGGGAATACTGTGGGATCCTACATGGCTAAACCTCGAAAGCCAAGGCGATGCCAATGTTGCAGGTATACATTATATTGTGCTTTGTGTCTTAATTTTTTTATTGTGAGGTAGTCTTGGCATTTTTGTTCTCTTTAATGATTGGTGATTTACTTGACAATGTAGGGTCGTCGGCCACACGAGGAGAACTTGCCCCCAAAACGATCATAAAACGGGACAAGTGGGTAGCAATTTGTTTGAGGAATACGATGATTATGATCCAATTGGTACTCTCACCCCTTTAACACCGAAACGTCCCAGGAATAATATGAGGCCATGTAAGATCCACCCTGTGAAGAGAAGACTTTTTGTCACTAATGTGGATACGTCTCCAGTGCAGTTGAGCAAGGATGTTAATGACTTGCGTAGTTGCGATGCACAAGTTGTCCAAAATTCAGCGTTCACTGATGCAGATACGTCTCTAGGTGATTACTTTTATGGCATCTTTTCAGTTCAAATTATGTTCATTTTGTTTACATTTGCTTTGCAAATTTTATGTGTCGCTGCTTAATTCTAATTTCTTGATATGCCAAGATAGATTTTAGCTAGAACATTTAGATGTCATAACTGATTATGATGTTTACAACTTGATTATGGAAATAAATAATTTACGAACATAAAATGACAAAAGAGTGTGTAATGACCAATATATCAAAATTCAATTTGTTATGATTTGAATCATAGATTTCAAGTGAACAAACCTTAACGACAACATAATTTGTTTCTGCAGGTGTTGCTGTGGGTAATAGTTGATATGATCGAGCGGGTGATATTGGAAGCTAAACTAAGATTTTTTTAACAAAATTTTTTTGAGGACTTAAATATGTTAGTATTTTGTGTAAATACTCTTAAATGATGGTTGATGGATATTTTTTTTGCTGTATGGAAGTTCATATTTTGTATGCACACTTCTTTTTTTCCTTGAAGAAAGAATTTTGTAAGGAATTATCATTCACCAAACGAGGTTGTAAGAAATCCTACACTGCCTTGCAATAGTAACTTGCTTTTCAATATTATTGATCTTCCGTCCAGGTTCATCAAAAGACACTTCAAGATGTATATATGTGTGTGGTTTTAATATCGTTGATGGATCAATTCTTTAAGATGTATATATGTGTAAGGTTTTAATATAAATTTTAGACCACAGTTGCACTAGCAAAGGCTATAAAGCCATTTTGTTTAGTGTTTTTGCTCATTTTCGAAGCAAATGCACAACAACAAGTGCATATAGAAAATTGAAGGTCATTATTCGATCGTTTTTTCCCATAAAATATTCTCTTGAAAATGGCCAAACTGTCATTTGGTATCACACACTGTATTGTTCTAATTTATAGAAGTAGCTGCCTCTGCCATTCTTGACAGCAGATTTTGCGAAGTATCTGAATTTACTCTTGATTGGGAATTTGTTAAATGTGTTTTTGTTATCCATATTTTATCTCTTTTACATTTATTTTAGGTATGGGATACATATAATTATTTTGTGAAGTGATTGAGATAATATAGCCACGGAAAATTAGAGAAGCCTGAATTGTGATATCTTTTTTGGTTCTTGAATTTGTTAAGAAAAGGAAAAAGTTAATTTAAAAAAAAAAATGAGAAGCAAAAATTTCTTACTGGGGTTTGGTTGGGCTGGGTTTAGGGTTGCTAACGAATTGAAATTTATTATTAATATAAGTATTATTATATATTTTAATAATAATTTTGTATTTTTTTAATTTTAATAAGTAAATTAATTTAAATTTAATTCATTTTTAAGTTCGAGTTTGAACTTGGCTCGTTTATGTAATTGAGCGAGCTCGAGTTCAACAAATATTTGACGAGCTGAGCTTGAGTTCGATTTTTGAAGCTCGACTAAAACTTGCTCAAGCTTGAGTTCGACTAATTCTTAATAAACGTGCTTAAACATTCAAAATTTTGATTCGGTTTGTTTGCAACCTAGTTGGGTTTCAAGGAAGAATGCATAGGAATTTTTCAAAACAATATTTTTCTTGCATGGTTCCTAGAGAAAAATGAATAGACACAAGCTAAAAGACTTTGGTATTGTTTTATTTTAATGTTTTGTATTCTCGAAAATAGAAAAAATGAAAACGGACAACATTTTTTTTTTTTTGAAGTATACTTTTTATAAGAAACTTTAATGTTGTTATTTGAATTTTTCAAAACTGTTTTTGCATAATAGTAAAAATGATTAGTTTTATTTTTGAAATCATGAAAAATAAACGCCGCCCAATGTCCTACCCTAACGGTACTATGACGTCACTATGATATTTAGCGACGCTTTTGAAACGCCGTCATAGATATTTATACATTTTAAAAATCCAACCCAAGAATAGAAACAATTCATGTTCAAATTTTAAATACATCAATTAAAATCAAAGTCGTCTTTGTTCGCTCCCACAACCTTATCCACTATCTTTCCTTCTTTCAGGATCACAAAAGTCGTATAGCCTCTACTTCCATTTCAATTCACCCCTAGCTCTGAGTTCTGCACAAGGTAGCACACTTGAGAATATAATTTTATAACAAAGGTTGAGTTATAAACTCAAAGTTCACGAGTTTAAGAAATGCGATAACGTCATTGATTGTACGAACTTATGAAAAATAAAAAAGAATAGAGCATCACCAGCTTTATATTGCGCGATATCACCAACAATAGGAGCTGAATTATGCTTGTATATCACAAGATCAAGTAACAAGCGAGCCCTATGCAAATAGTCAAACTACATGCCAAAAGTAGTGAGTACGTAAAAACATCACACACTATAAAATTAGTCTTCATAAAACATAAGATACTGATAAGTGGACAGTTGGGTATAAATGTAAGTACCTTGATTACACCCGAAGGCAAAGGTTTCCCTTGCATATATTTGATGACGAAAAGACCACAATCATAGCTATAGGAATGAGTGTAGTTGTAACAATAGAGTCAACGAACTTAGAGATTATAACATTAATGCTTATTTAAAAATCAAGAACGATAATGTAGTGTATTACTTGTTGTCTTGGCGTGGCATGTCTTCCAACCATTGAAATGCAAACGAACTAACATCTTGAACGTAATCTTCTTCATGCGCATATTGAAGCAGCTTATGCAATGATTGTACCTGTTGGTGGTAGGTAGTAAGGTGCATAGATCAAGAAACAAAAAAGTGGATACAAGTGGGGTATCACAATGGTTATTCTATTACCAATAATGTAGCTTGATTTTTTCGATCCTCATCGGTGTCAATACATCTGGTGGAGTCGAATAGATAGGCAACCCGTTTTTCCATATTTACATTCAAGCACAACCAGTGGTTTTCCCTATGGTTGAAGGGCATGTAAATCTAAAAATATAACGTCGAATGTACATGCAAAAAATAAATAAATACATAACATGGATCAAATGTTATTGTGCATGGTAAATTTGGAAATTGGGTAATAACAGTATTTTATCATGTTACCTCCTCACAAGCATGAAGGGGGCCAGTGTATCTGTAAATTCCAAAATAATCTTCTACTATATCTTTCATTGTGTCATTAGAAGGTTGACACAAAACCTTTTTCTGCATATTCAATTTTAACATATAAATAACTTGTGCCTAAATAAAAAAAGTCTTTAGGTATGGCTAATACTTACCGATACATGGGTCGGAAAGTACCAAACCTTGTGATCCTTATTTGGAAACTTTTTCCTTTGTTTATTTGTCAATTTCACAACAATGAGATTTATAATCTGCAGTGCAAAATATATGAAATTTATGAATAGGCAAAGTAAAGTAACTTGGATGATGGAATGGTAGCAAATAAAATAGGAGAAGGAGAAAAGTCTTACATACGAGGATATCCACTGATATGGTTTCAAGGACCACAATTCCTTCCGCGTGGCAGATTGTGCTTCCATGTAGTGTAGTTTCATCCGTACAAGATATTCCCTAGCACATGGATAACTATGTGAGTTAGAAGGTATAGTACTTCATACATAACAAGTTAAAGGTAGTCAAATTGTACCCTTCTGAAAGAGATTCATCAAATGCATATCGTAGAACGAGACTGTCATAGTCATTTAATAGGTATGGCAAAGGCACGGATGACTTGTAAAGGTATTGAGAAGAATAGTGCATAAAACAAATCAAGCTTGGTTAGTGTATGTTCGTGAAGATGGTTACTGTATGTTAGTGCAAAATAACCACATATACAAAAGATACTATAATAGTTAGTTCCAAACCTTTGGGATTTCAGGAACAACATTACCCCCAAGTTGATCAAGTAAATTATCAAATAGCTGATACAAGTAAAAGAAAATTAAGAAATAAACACTATTTGTTACACCTATATCAAATATGTTTTGAGACACAATCATTTAGTTTACTTCATCGAGATTGTCATGAATATTATTGTCAATGTTGTTGTCAGTTGACGATGGCTTCAACTGTGGTCTTTTCTTCATTACATCGAATTTCACAAAAGGTGTACACAACCACTAACTGGCTTTGCAATTCTGGGTCCCTCGAGTCTGAGGACCACGAACAACACTACATGATGATGACATTGTTACAGTATTCACTTCAACTGCCTTTGTATCGCTCTTTTTTGCGCGCGATCGCCCCTTTTGTGGAATAGGAAGTTGTTCATTATTTAATGCTTTCCCACCAACCAATTTGGCTCGTTTCTTTGCAACTGCCTTTGCATTTGGTGGTGTGAGGATTGGTTTTGTTTTTCTCAGACGCAAAGTTTCCATTGGTTCTTTGTCATTCATATTCCTTATCTCATCCTCATCTACAAACTTCGGGGAATTGGCTGCAACCTTTTCGATACCACTATCATCGAGACCAACCATTTCAATGTCAATTCGATGCTCCTCATGTAGTTTGCTTGGTGGTGTTTTAACATGTCCACCATCAAATGGAATGCGTCGTTCTAACAACTTAAGAATTTGACCAACTTGGTTCTCCATTTTGACCAGTTGCTGCTCCGCAAGTAGTTTGCTTGGTGGTGTTTTAACTTGTTCTCCATCAACTGGCATGTGTTTTTCTAACAACTCAAGAATTTTTTCAACTTGATTCTCCACTTTGGTTAGACGCTTCTCATCCTCATCTTGCCTTGTGTCCTTGTGGCCTTGGACAAAAAGGGCATGAATTTCAATGACTTCTTTCTCAACTTTAGACAATCGGGAGTCATCATTCTTGTCAATTCTTCCCTGGCTAAGAGTTACTGCATTGGACTTTTCAACAATGTTAGGCAAAGCCACCTATTCACACATATACAATAACTTGTTAATGTCACAGGTGTAATGTAAATTGAGCTATAATTATAAAAAGTCATGTGTTGTAAATATTTACCTCAACATTTAAATATCCTCCCAAAGCTTTAACTTGATTAAAACCCTGCTTAATTTCTGAATTGCCCCAATAGGATAAGCGAGGAATGGAGTTGGAAGTAGCCACCAACTCCCTTTTGCGAGCAAATTGTTCCAAGTAAAATAACTACATGGGAAAAAAAAATAAAAAAAAGAAGTCATTTTAATGTGTGTTAGACAATATGCAATAAAAAATAATAGATGAAATAATTACACATCAAGGGGAAGTACCATTAGAAGAAGCAAACAGCCGCACATAGCAGACCGCTCTTTGACCTTGGCAATAGCAATGCGGCCGACAAGAAAATCAAGGGTGTGCTTTGCCCAATTGAATTGACTGATGGACTCAACATTTTTAACCATTTTAATGAATGATTGGTGTACGCCTGCCTTTGTGGTGGGGCACAAGAGGGCTCCAATGATGTATAAGACTAATTTCCTTTTAAATTCAGTTCCAACATCTTTTGTTTCAAGCAGATAAGATTTCAAAGATGTGAACGGAACAAATTTATTCTTCATCGCAAGTTCATCACATAGGTTTGTAATTTCATCTACGGACTCTGTTAACTTCACAGGTAGACCATTGGAATGTAATCCCATCAACTCATGAACATCTTTTACGGTGAGAAGCATTCGAAGACCGTGGACATTCAATGAATGAGTTGAAGGATCAAAGTTCTGAACTAACCAATGACACAAGTCATGATCTATGTGCGTGCACCTAAGGCTTAGGATGCCATGAAACCCCATATCACTCACTGCTTGTTGTTGTGCTTTGTCCAACCTTCTAATAATCTTACAAATTGATGTAAGCTCAATCCGGGTTTGAATTTTTACTTTTGGAGGCTTTTGTTGGACCACAGTTTTTAATTGGGCATATTGTTCAGATTGCAGCTTTCCCATTTGTATATACTTATTTTTTTCTTCCTCAGGAAGTTGATTCCATTTGTCCCTAATATCCTACATTACATGCATAAAATCATATGAACAATTACATACAAGCTTACAAGTACAAAAGGAATACTACAAACAACAAGAATACGTTGCACCTACCTTCACGTCTACTTTCATTTGGGTTTTTTTTAACTCCATTGATTGTTCTTGGCTATAAAAATATGAAAATGAATATAAGAATTTGTATAATGGAAAATATATAACTAAATACAAATAGATATTAACGAAATACCAAAAGAAAATGAATGGAGTGATCGGGCGCTTTGGAGGATCAGTCGGCTTATCCATTAGGCTTCAATCAGAATTCCTTGTAAAGAAAGACAAGAAAAATAAACTCATAATACCTTTGATTAGGAAAAAAAACAAACAAACAAAAATCTTAAAGGTTATAGTACATTCATCAAATGCACGACATGCACACATGAATGGATTTGTTTTATAATAATGTAGTTAACAAAGACTATGTTTCCAATGTAAAAAGGAAAGACACTAAAAAAAATTCTAATCATAAACAAAAAATGATACCCCAGTAGCTTAGGTCACATTACCATAAAAAATAGATTAAAGAAGTTAATTTTTTTGGACAAAATTTGTAATTTGGTAAGGAAATTTTTTTGCCGCAAAAAGGAGCCAAATATTTTGGCACCATACGAATTGATAATAAAAACGACATTGTTTTTTATTTTATTTTTGGGACTATTGTAGAAAAAAATAAAAAACGATGTCATGGTTATGTATAGCTCCTTTGCTCCTTCAAGTCTCACTTTAGGTGTACAGTCAGAAGGTTGAATATCTTTATTAACTGGTTTTACTCGCTTTGGTTTTAGCTATGTTGTGGTTCACTTTCCCATATTTTATCTTGCTAATTTTTTTTTTTATTCTCTGCATGGGTTTGGGGATGGCTTGAACCACATAAAGCACTTGAAAATTATAAATGTTTATGGAAGCAATTTGTTTTTTAGAATACAAAATACAAGAAATTAGAAAATGGGAGAATGATTTGATACAGTTGTATTCAGTAATATACATACACTAACTAAAGATTTGACGCACTAAGGACCCTTGCATACTGCTATACCCACTGCCACTCACAATTGAATCTTGGGTTGTGAATAGAGCTTCTCTTGTATTAATGTTATGCTTATTATTTGATTTTATTATTTATATTTATTCTGTCTTTGATACTTTTAGATTCATAAGAAATAATTGTAGACACCCCATTTTTGACCGTCCTCAAGACTTGGACGCCACCGTTGGAACATTTGGTGATTATCCATGTTTGTGTTCGTTTGGAGTTCCCGGAGATCTCGGCTACGCGCCTTGCCTCAGGATCTCCGAACTTGACTGTTCAGTGTCTGGTTTTGCACCAAACACTTGCATTTTGCCTTGGAGGGGCAGGGAATGCCTTGTGAGGCATCCCCACGCACCACCGGCCATGGCCAGAGGCCACTAGCTGGTTTTTGCTGCCATCGACAATGTATATTGCCGGTCGGCACTATTTATTGCCGGTCGGCACTCCCTTTTGCCAAAATGGCATTTTTGAGCAGCCGACTACTGTTCATCTGCTTTTGCAGATATTTTATTACAGCTGTCTTGCATTTGGCTCCCCTCCATACACGTGTATGGAGGGATCTCCCTCTTTAGAAACTTGTCTTGTAAACTTTACAAGACAAGAAGCTCTATAAGAGGAGACCTTGTCTCCCTTGCTTAGGGTTGGACACTTTAGAGAGTTTAGACAGCCATATTAGGGTTTTGAGTTCTAGGGTTAGGATCCATACACATTCTATCTCTA